GGTGTACTAAGTTGAAAATTCTTGAATTTCTTTCAGTTATAACAAGATCTAAAAAATTATTAGCTTTTTTATTTTCAATATGAAATGTTGGATTATTTATGTTTTGAAACATACAGAATTTATTTAATCTATTTATGAACAATTGCGCTATTTCATGTTTTCCAGCTACTTTACCAGCGTAATTGTTAAAATCAATTTGTGGGAAATTAAGTTCTTTACATAAGTGAATGCCAGTTGCTTTTTTTTTTCAATATTAAACTGAAAAAAATACAATGTAATTTTCATTCCAATGTTTATAGAACACCAAATTTGTTCAACTAGGCTATTTTGTAGATCAACATTTAAAATTTCAAAGGATTTTTAAAGTTTTAACAATATACACACTCCACCAACTTTTCTAACGACTTTTCTATATAAGCAATATCCATGAATGTTTGTTACAGAATTATCTGTCCACTATGTCTTGCATACCATAATTATGTGTGATGAATTTATTTTACTTACAGCTCATTACATTTATTATTTAACAACGTAGCATTTGTGTACCAGGATTTTAAATACCTCTTTCTAATCTTGTTTTTTCATTCTAATACTTTTGTTGTCTTTGTTGCTGTCATATTAATAGTGCTACTGTTAATTGCTACTTTTTTTTCTTATTATTTTATCATTTCTGATAGTGTAATAATATTTCTTGTCAATATTATCATTGTTTTATAATTGCATTCTTCTCTTAACAATTTAGTTTGATATCTTTCACTTTGTGTTAAAACTGGACTGATAAATATCCAATTTTATTCCTGTAAATCTTTATTCCTGTAAATTTTTTAGCTTTTTTGAGAATTGAATTTCTCTCTTTTTTATCTTTTAATTCAACAATAAAAGGAATTCGACTATCTAGTGATTTACACTTAATAATATTCAATAATATTCAACCACTATTGGAGTTGGAAGTTACTGGAAAAGAAAAGAAAAGTTTATAGAGCGAGATACAAAAAAGAAGCAACATTATGGTGATGTGATGATGGTTGAAAAAAATTCAAAAATTCAAAAAAAAGTTTAAATCTTTTAAGCTAACATTTAATTAAAATTATTCAGCAATAGCAAAGTTGTCGATAAAATTGAACAAAAATACTTTCTTTTAGTTTTAGATTTTAAACTTAAATAATTATTTTACGGGGGTTTGTTAGGTTTTAAAATTATTCCATAGATTTAAAAATATTTATTAACTGTTTGACGTATTTAAAGTATTTAAGAGTAATTTCGAGGAAACATTTTAAAAATTGGTGAGCGCAAATAAAAAAAAAAAAGGATTAATATTAAAACGTATTCTACTTGATTCAATAAAAAAGTACAGTTATTAAAATTTTTGTAAAAAGTAACTCAAAAAAATTACTTAAATAATAACGATCGCTTTTATGTTAGAAGTTACCGAAACTCAACGAAGCATGCTCAAGAACAGCTGCTGAAAAATAAAATGTCAATAGTTTTTCGAATAATTTTTAATAATAATCTTTAAGAATAATTTTTTCGCTGAAATATTTCTTTTATACCTATAAGATTTTTATTCTAACATTTTATTTTATTTTACCAAAAATAAAATTCCTTGTTGACATTAAAAATCTATTCAAATTGTTCGTTAAAGTTTTTTAATAATACGAGTGATTGTGCTTATCAACCGCTTTATGAAAATAAATAAAAATAAATAAATAAATATTATATAAAATTGCTTGTAAAAATATTAGCTATTGCACAGTTTTTAATCGTACAATATTAAAATTTCCAGTTTATTACTCGCTGACTTTTTAAAAAGAAAAAATAATTATTTGAAAAACTTTAAATTACATATTTAAGAAAAAAAAAATCAAATATTAGCATATTTTATAATCTTTTTTAAATTTAAGTTATAATGTTTTTTATTCGTTTAGTAAAGACAAAACGTGACAAACGTTGAGAAAATAAACAAATGTTTTTACATTTTGAAAAACGAAACATTCCAAAACATTTTTAAATAATAACATTTCTACATAAACGATTTAAAGTAGTTTTGCGGTAATTAACTAAATTGGTGCAGTTAATGTCGATAAATATGAAAAGCAAATAAAAAGAATTTAATGACGTCAAAAATCATGTCGTGCTTATGCGTCGCGCAGTTCTTATTCATCGCAAGGCCTGGACTAGGATGATCTATGTGGTAATAAAAAAATTCAAAGTTCGTCAGTAAATGCTTCAATTCTTCTTCTCATAGCTCCGGAAATCCTGGAAACATATTTCAACATTAAAATATTATTTGAAAAACTAAATCTTTAAAAAGTTAAGCACATTGGGGTATGCGACATAAAACTTAGTCAAATTCTTACAGTAATACTCCAAGTAGAAGTTCAATTCATTCCTGTTAAGTATGTGAGTGGGATAGAAGAGAAACCTGGGCTAATGAGCATTAGTCCAGGTTTCTCTTCTATCAGAAGATATTCAGAACATTTAAGAGCTGTCAAGAAATCTGTAAAAATTCAAAAAATCTGGTTCAAAAGTCTGCGCAATATTTTAAGAATTCAATTCCTAAAATATTATTATACAATTATTTTATAATTATTGTTTTTTTTTATAATTATTTTTATATAATTATTATTATACAATTATTGTATAAATCCTGTGTGAGTACATATAACCCCCTCTGAGCTTCTTGTAGACAGATTTGTTTAACCGGAGCTTTATAAAATGGAGGGAACAGTCAACCATGTAATTGAGAACATGAAGCAGATTTGGTCAGAAATGAATATGAATGAGATTTATAAACAGTTGCAAATTATTAAGACTGGTTAGCATGTTGGGAAATTTCATAGAAACTAGAAAAATTCTAAAAAAGTGGGTAGTGTTTAATGATAAGCTAATTAAACTAAAGTCTTTTGGAGAATGCTTAAGGTTGTTAAATTTAGTTGTTGAGTCTTGCTTTGGATCCGAACTTGAAGAAAGCTTTTAAACTACTATTGAAAGTTTAAAGGTTATAAAAAGATGATGCAGAACATGACTTTTTTTAATACCTACATTTCATACCCTGTTCAAAGTTTATTCAGAGCAATCAGGAGAAAATGTTCACTACCTCTTCAACACTGTCTCTTTGAACTGCTACAAGGTGTCAGCTAATATTTGTAAATAATTGAGTTAAGGCATTAAGTTCTTATAATGGTAAACATCTTTTCTTCTTGGTAATGTTGATATTTTTTAGTTATTCAAATCATGAATAAATTTTTAATTTTATTTTTGTAAATATATATTCATTTGATATATGTTCATTTAAAGATTTAAAACACATGATTATCAACTCTTTAATAATGTAATAAAACAAAATACTTTCTGTATTATTTATTTCTAATAAATTGAATGTAACTATTAACTGAAATTAACAATAAAATTTTAAATGAAAACAACATGGTGGAGCAAAAAAATGGTGCAAAACCTTTTCAAAAAATGGCATTAAAAAATCTTAAAAATGCCATAATTATTTTTTTGGAGTTTTTTGATTTGATGGACTATATTTATTTTATAAATATAGTCCATCAAAGAGTTTTATGATTTGATGGACTATATTATCTTATATCTTTCAGAATACATCAACCTTGATTTAGACACAATTCAAAAAACCTAAATTTAGTTAAGGCTAAAAACCGTGTGAGTTTGCATTATGTTTAAAACTCCAGTTTGTTTATTTTTGTTTAATGTAAAAAATTTTATATAGTTTTTTAAATTATCTTTCAAATGCTTCTTTTTAATTTTCCAACGATGTTTTTTTGCTTTTTAAGTAACGTTTTCAATAACTTTATAATGATTTGGTTTCAATATTTTCTCCAAATTATAACAAATATTTTTAATAATGTTCTTACTTGTAAAGAATTTATATTTTGCTTCGTTTCAGGCGTGCATCAATAGATTTATTTGATATTCTTTAGTAATATTTTCACCTTGTTTTTTGATTTTATTGGTGATCTTACTTTCAATGATGGTGAATTAGTATGATTAAAAACACCTCTGAAGACAGATTAGCTTATTTTTTGATATTGCATTTCAAATTTTTTGTTCCTGAAGTTCCTGAAATAAACCATGGGAATAAATCAAAAAAATTTTAAACAAATTTTTTTTTTTAATTTAAACACAATTTATTCAGTCGATACTTTTAGTTGGACCATTTAGATAATGCTACCTTTCAGAACTATGATTTAAAACAGAGATTTAATATTAACATATATAAAAATATAAACGTCTTTTGAAAGTTTTTTTTGAAAATTTATAGAGTTTATTAGAAATCAGAAACCAGAAAACTTAGAGACACTCATAATTCTTGTAGGGACTTCAAATGCAGTTATATTTTTTACTTTAAAAGTAATATTTGATGTCTTAATACTTTCAGTTGTGAAAGTTTGTTTGAAATAACGAACTTTTATTATAGAAATTGCATGTAGTTATCTTGCTCTACAAATAAAAGAATATATAAAACAACTAATTATTGTAATAAATGGCTAGTATTGGTATTAATATGTTGAAAAAAAAACAAAATAAAATATTAAAGTAAAATATATGAAGGTACACATATATTATATTTAAACTTGTTTATTGCACAACTTTATGCTTTTTTTAATATTTTTCATTTGTTTTTATTACTATTTTCATCTGACTGGGAAAAGGGAGAATCAATATGCATTTCTGTTTTAATTTCAGTATTTGTTGAATACATTTTTAAATAGGTTATTATTACATAATTTTTTATACATAAATTTGCTTAATATATATAAATATATATATATATATATATATATATATATATATATATATATATATATATATATATATATATATATATATATATGTATATATATATATATATATATATATATAACAATAAGTACAATTATCACTTTATTCTGTTTAGAAATATTCCTACTGAGAAGTAAAAAAAAAAAGTTATTTTTTTGTAAAATAATTATATTTTTAAAAACTATTATTTTTAGAATTATCCTGGTAACTTTCAATTTGGTTACTCTCCTGTATTATCAACTCTAAATACTACAAAAGTTGGCAGTCAAATAAAAATTGTTAGAAATACTTATTCTGATATTAACAGCTATAGCTATATGGCTATTGAAATTTACGGAAAGCGTCTTAGTAAAAGTTTATTATTATTATTATTTTTGTTGTTATTGTTTAACTATTTATATAGTAGTTTAATCTAACATAATTTAAAATTTTTTATTTTTTTTTTAAATTAGAAAAAATTAGCTACATCTAAAAGTAGCAAAGAGTATAGCTATATGGCTGTTGAAATTTATGGAGAACATCCATGTAAAAATGTATTGTGTTATTCAATAATATCAATATATTTTTTTATTAACTCGTTTGTTATTTTAACTTCAATTTGAGTTAAAATAACAAATAAAATAAAAACAAGTAAAAATAACAAATATTTAAGTAAAAATAACAAATTATATGAGTTGTTATTCTTAATATTAAAAACTTAGGGTTTATTAGATTTCTTATTTTAGAATTTTAAATAACATTTCAAGGTAAATTAAATTTTTTTTTTCAACAAATAAAAAACAGACTAAATAAAGTTTTAACATTGTAATTTAAATTTGTAAAGAAAAAAAAATAAAGCTTTTTAATTACTTAGTAAGTTGTATTTCAACATTAAAATATTATTTGAAAAACTAAATCTTTAAAAAGTTAAGCACATTGGGGTATGCAACATAAAACTTAGTCAGATTCTTACAATAATACTCCAAGTAGAAGTTCAATTTATCCCTGTTATGTATGTGAGTGGGATAGAAGAGAAACCTGGACAAATGCTACATACAGAACATTCAAGAGCTGTCAAGAAATCTGTAAAAATTCAAAAAATCTGGTTCAAAAGTTTGCGCAATATTTTAAGAATTGTATAAATCCTGTGTTAGTACATATAAACCCCTCTGAATTTCTTGTAGACAGATTTGTTTTACCGGAGCTTCATATAATGGAGGGAACAGTCAACCATGTAATTGAGAACATCGAGCAGATTTGGTCAGAAATGAATATGAATGAGATTTATAAACAGTTGCAAACTATTAAGACTGATCAGCATGTTGTAAAACTTCATGGAAACTATAAAAATTCTAAAAAAGTGGGTAGTGTTTAATGAAAATTTAGTCCTTTTTAATTACTTAGTAAGTTGTATTAAAAAAATAGTTGTATTAGTAGGTTAATAACAAGTATTCTTTAGGAATGATGTCTTACGATGTCAGTTTTAATCAGAAAATAATAGGAATACTTGGGTTATAAATCTGCCTTTAGTCGGAATTAATAAGTATATATAGGTATATAAAAAACTGGTTTTAGTCAATATTTTTTTATATTTTTTTATGTTAGTAGTAGGAATAGGAGAGTTCTGGGCCATTTTCATTTTTAACCCTATTTTCAACCATAAATTAATATTAATATAGGGTTCAATGTTAACCATATTGTATATAATTTATTTCGATAAGAAATAATTTTTTATTTTAAAAAAAATTGATTTTTTAAAATAAGTGTTAATTTTTATTTCTTGTTATGAAATATTACGAAAATTTCTTGCATGACGTCATAGGTCACGTGATTTTCTTGCTGTTTCTAAAAGCGTTATCAACTGTATCTATATCCTATTGATTGTAAATATTCAAATGCTTCAAGGCAACCAGCTAATTTAATTGCTTTTTCCGTACCTTTATATCCAATAGAATGTAAATCTATTAATACTTTAAGAAGTTGTTTAGCATTTTTTCCTTTACTTTGAGCATCATTAATTATCAATTCATCACATTCATATCCTAATTCAATTAAATATTTTACTACTTCAAGGTGATCATTCATTGCAGCACAATAAACTGCATCTTTTGTTCCTTTATAACCTAATGAATGCAAATATTTAACTACTTCAAGGTGACCATTTTGTGCAGCACAAGTAATTGTACATTCTTTTACTCTATATCCAATAGAACGTAAATATTTTAATACTTCAAGGTGACCATTTTCTGCAGCATAATTAATTGTCCATTCTTCTCCTTTATATCCAATAGAATGTAAATACTTTACTACTTCAAGATGACCATTTATTGCAGCATTATCTATTGCATAAGCAATTGTTAATTCTGTTCCTCTATATCCAATAAAACGTAAATATTTTAATACTTCAAGGTGACCTTCATAACCTAATTCAATTAATAATTTAATTAAATCAAGTTTACCTATACTTACAGCAAAATCAACCTTATTACCTTTTTTATACCCATAGTTTTTTAATATTGTAGTAATATAATATATTTGAGATGAAGGTTCAATTATGTTTTTTATTAAAAAATTATTATTCTCAAAATAATTTTCTAGATTCATTCTTTTTTATATACACAAGAAAATTATTTAACTCATTTTCAATTTTTTTATTTTTTTAATGCGCATGCGCTGGAATTTATTTCTTAACAATATTATATAGAGTCTCTTATAGCATATAATTCTAGTTCAGTTGCAGTTACTAAAGTAGTTGAACTATTTTCAATGTAATTAGTATATACAGGAAAAACATTAGCAGATCCATCTGTAAAACTGCTATTTGTACACACAGGTGCCCAATATCCACCACCTGTATCTAGTGTAAGTACCGCTCCTAAATTCATCATGCTTTTTGTAGTTGTCAAATTTAATCCGCAAAATCCTTGTCCTGTGTTTGTATTACCGAATGGTGTTTCAGTTGATATGAGTTGTGCAATATTTTGATAATGCATAGACATCATTGGAAGGAATGCTTGTTTAAATATAATACTTTTCCATTCACCATTAATTTTATATTTTAAGCAATATTTATAATATCCATCTTTGTTTTTATAAAAATAGTTATTAGATAACTGACTATATTTTGTAGCTGTAGATGGATTAGCACTATCATAATTAAGTGATCCATAATAATTAGTTGGAAATAAATCTGTTGATACTTGCCTAACAATTAGCGTTTCTCCTGGTATATAAATTGGATAATAAATACTATTAGCATATAAATTATTTTTAGCTGTAATTAATGCATTATAAAATTGTTGAGCTAAAAATATTTGTTGACGTGAGTCGTAATGTACGGTGTCGTCGTTTGTAATTCTCATAGAAGGTGGAAGATTAGTAATAGATATGCTTGCAGCGTATGGAATATATTCTCCAATAGTTGAAAGCGCATTTTGAACTGGTGTTGCTCTTGCTGAATTAGCTGAAACCCATCCAGGCCTCATTTGAAAAGTAAGGAATGGAATTGTATTTGATTTTGCTTGGGAATTTGTTAACGTGTAAAACTGATTAGATGAATACCCTATATAATCTCTTATGGTTTGAATAAAATTTAATAGAATATGTCTATAACTATTATTCCAACCATCTATAGAATCATTTTCTCCTTGAGCCCAAGTCATACCACAAAATTCTGCGTTATAATGTGATAAAATATATCTAATTCTACGAGTTAAATTTCTAAATCCAGTACCATATGGCATAAAATAATCATCACTAAAACCTCTTGCACCTAACATACATGGAAGTATCATTAAACTTTCATCTGAATGTATTATATTTAATGTGTTTGAAGTATCAGCATCTTGCATTATTAAACCGGCTAGTATTGAACCATATCCAGCATAACACATATTATCTGATTCATTTACTTCAAGTCTAAGAGAACAAGGAAGTAACACATCATTTTGTCCATTATCCATTGCAAATTGTACTATTCGTCTATGCATATAATTTACAGTAGTTATTGCATTAGAATTACCCCATTCTCTACCATAATAAGTATTTGATTGTCCAGCTACAATCAAAACTTTATATTTACGAGGATAAGGAATTATTCTTTCTATATAATTTGTAATAAATTCATATGTTGAATCAATATATTTTTTTGTAGCAGCGTCCTGTGCATTAGTAGGATCAACTACATTGATCAATTTATGTGAATTCAAATTTATATTAGCACTCATACTATTAGTTCCATCTAGTTTTAGACATGCACTGCTAGAAGTTTGATTATTATCTACATAATACTTTGTAGCTGCATCTTGTGCATCTGTAGGATCAGCTACATTGATCAATTTATGTGAATTCAAATCAACATCAGTAGTGGCTGTATTGCCAACATTAATGTTAATATTTAATCCATCTGTTGTGTAACCATATAATGAATTACTACCTGCTATATTCATACTCATTTTTTATATACTATACATATTTTTTTTAAATCACTCTGTGATTATTGCTTCGCTAATTCAATATAATGAGTTTTCAATACTTTGAAAATCAACACCTTCATCAAGCTTTTTTAATACATAAAGACACAAGTGTCCGCAAAAAGAAGTGTCTCCAAACTGAATTCTTTTACTATTATAATAAACAGGACTGTGTAAATATTGAACAAGTTCAACTGGAGGTGGTAATGCATAAGAATCAAAACTTAATTTTTCTTCTCCATCTTTATACCAACAAATCCAATGAAATCCATTCGTACTTGAATCTCCAGTATTTAATATTCCACATTCTTTGTTTTGTGTATTTTTAGGTAATTCATCTCTTACAAATACACCTCTAAAATTTTTAATTTTTAATTTTTTTGCTGCTTTTATTAATTGAAAGTTTGTTAAGGGTACATTTGGTAATATAATTCCTTCAACATTGATATGTTTGTCCATTTTTATTAATAGTTTTAGATTTTTTTAGATCTTTTTAAGATATAAAAAATAACTTACCTGCGTGTTTGCCTGCTTGCCTGTTTATTTCCAATCAATCTGAAATGAAAAGTTAGGTTTGTCAATTCTATCACTTTCATTCCAATCAATCTGAAATGAAAAGTTGGGTTTGAGTTCCGAAGGAACCAATGTTTTACTCTCTTTTAATTTATAATGTCCATATGCTAATGTGTGAATACCATCTTCTTGAATTACTCTTTTATCATCTTCTGCACTTAATGCTATTTTGTTTATTTCTTCTGTATAAACATCATGTAAATGAGATCTTATGACATTCATTTTTCTCATCTGATTTCTCCTGCTAAGCAGGCAGTCTTTATAATCTTTATGTGTAATATAATTTTTTACTATATTTCTCTTTACTCCTTTACATCTCTTTTT